TAAACTTCAAAAACTCGTCCTCGACACTTACAACACGATGAAACAACCACTTATACATGCTTTTCTTTGTGTGGTGGGAGGAATTTCATTGTGGTGCTCGCGACGAAGCTGGTAATTATCAAAATCTCCATTTTCGACATTTGCAGCGCACCGGAGAATCGCCTATACATGTTTTTTTTTTTTACATGTTTTTTTGTTTTAGCGTGATGGGAAGGGAACCCGGTGCGACGTCTACGACAAGGTGGGGATGCTTATAAGTACCTGTAAGTAGGAAAACAACTATATTTTCAAACATGTGGTATAGAAGACCCCTATACGTTTTTCTTAGCTTGATGGGGGATGAATATTATGGCCATGGTGTCCGAGGAAACCTACCATACATGCTTTTCTTAGCCTAGTGGGATGGCCCAATTTCCCCTAGACGAGGAGGCAATAGGAGGTTACCAAAATTTCACTTGAAAACACAGAGGACTTGGATAAAAACAGGAGACAGAATGAACTTGACTTGAATATTAATTAACACGACTTGGATAATTTGAACAAAAAAAAAAGGACTTGCAAATTGACTACACTTGACTTGGACTTGAACTTGAGTTGGACCATAGAACATAAGCTTGAATGAACTTCAAAGAACTAAACTCATAATGGCATGGAACTTGAAATTAGCAAGAATCAAATAAATGTAAACTTGACATTGGACAAATGAATGTCAAAATACAAATAGAGATTTGTGAGTAACATCAGTAAGCAAATGAAATGCCAAATATCAATGAACAAAAAAAGGTTGTTGTTGAGCAACACTCCAAAAATGCACTTCATGCAAGCAAACACAACTCAAAGTGAGTACAAGGACTTGTGATAGAAGAATTTGTTTGATTAAACATATTTGCAAAAATGGGTGAACATGAAGGAATGTGATGGCATCCCTATCACCAATAATAATCCAACTCCAAGAAGGTACATCTGAGGAAAACGTCAAATGAAAATGAACATGCAAGAATCACTAGTGGATTAAGAACCCTAAGGACAATCCACTTGTAAGTAAAATCAGAGTGAGAAATGTGATGGAAAGCTCGCAAGCAATGGTACAGGATCTATAGTCATTTTCTCTCTACAAACAATGAAATTTGACATGCAATGAATATGACTGTTTGATGCATTCAATGAGTTTGGAGTGAATGAAATATATGTACAATCAATAGTGTTCAACTCCAAGCAAGTATGTTAGCTTAACTGCAAATAATAATTCTTCATGAGGCAAGTTTACTAGTACATGTGGAAGTCCCTATGAGCCACTATAGAAGACTCCTAATTTATTAAACAGTTCACCCAAATTAATGAACTGTTCATGAATGATAATAAGAGTCATACAAACTGGTGAGGATCCATAATCCATAATATACACAATGCTTCGTCTGCAGGTAGAAGCTGATGAATTATAACACATACAAGTTCCTACGAGCTGTCATATAAGGTTTACTGTACACCCAATGTGTCAACCACAAGCAAAATGCAGAATAACTACAGCAAATACAAATGCTTATAGTCAGTTCTAAAAGACTCTTATGCAAAGCAATCACTAAGAACAAAAACATCATGTGAAGGCAATTATCTACAAATAACAAGAAGGAAATTTGTTAGTGCACAATAAATTACCTGCGAAAAGCAACAAGAAGTGCACGACAGTTTACATGTATGAAACAGGTAAGTGACCGCAGCATGACATCACGCCATCGGATATGAAATACTCATACAAACAGATAAAAGGCGTCTACAAGCTGTAACCCCACACCACCATATCCACAACATTCATGCAAGCAGACATAAGATGTTTACAAATTTTTCCAAAACGTGCACTATAATATGTATGCACATAAGTACATAGAAATGCACATGTACTTATACACTCGCATGGTCTCTGACGAGCATGTTATAGGAACACACGTGACGTATAAGGATGCTGCGCGGGTTAACAAATTTGAACTCGTCATCCTAAGCAGGTAAATAGGAGTCGATAAGGTTCAATAAATAATTATAAAATCTTTCCAAACACCCGCATGGGCCCCGACAAGCGTGTAATTGGTACACACGTGACGTCTAGGGATGTTGCATGCATCAATAAATAAACGTAGTTCAAGCTCGATCCTTCTATATTGATAGATAGGAGTCGACACGGCTTGAACTACTAAACATATATACGGTTAGGGTGTTGACCAAAATACTTGTTTTATATGTTCATATAAGACCTTCAAGGTTGATGACAAAAGAAAATTCATCAACAAAGGCATAAATCCTACAAAATCAGATCTTTCTATATGGATAAATAGGAATCGACATGGCTCGAACTATCAAACAGATATACGATCAGGGTGTGGACCAGAATACCTGTTTTATACGTTCATATAAGGTATTCAAGGTCTATGACAAAAGAAAATTCATCAACTAAGGCATAAAGCCAATGAAACTCAATCATCTGTTGGCAGCTCGATAGAATCGACAAGGTTCAATGTACAAATGAAATAACTCATACACCCCGATGATGGCTGTGTTGAATGTAGATCTCAAATGCAGGGGTTAACATCAACCAATTTAAATGCCCTCAAACTTCCACCAAAATTCAAATATTTTCGAGTGACCTTAAATTCATATCAATGATGGTCGCGTTGAATGTTCATCTCAATCGGAGGGGTTCACAAACACTTTCAAATGTCTCTCAAATATCCAAATGCCTATAAAATTCAAACTCCAAAATAAAAAAATCTAAATATGTTTAAAATTAAAATCAACCATCCAACCACTTAAAGTAAAATCCATCCACCCTCCTTAACAGTTTATTGAGGTGGACAAATTGAAATTTACTTCAGCTCACATAGAGCTAACGCCTAATCGAAAATATCATTAGGATCCAATCTCAAATAATCTATTGCCAGTAAAGACGTGTTACATGTCCTCTAACCGACAATTTTGCCGCCAAATGACATCGCAGGATAAACGGTTATGACTCAGGGCCCTCTAAACTGAGTGATTTTGCCTCCAAATGACACTACTAAATTGTGGTTATGGCCAGAGGCAAATATATTCCTTCGTGGCATCAAATCCTTGAGATATGAATCAATAGGATATAATCGATAGGGTACAAAGCCCTCTATTAACTAAGGTGGATTCAAATTTTTCCCCTTAGATAAATACCTACCCCAGATTTACAAGGTACCCTTGGATGAAACAACCCATGGTTGCCGACAAGGATCCTTCTGTCAGATTGGGTCGACTACCTCTTCTGACTAAGTAGACCAGGGACCACGACGGCCCAGGACGACAAAATCATGGTATCTTGATCGGGTCTATCATCCATTCCCCCACCATCCACTTTAAGTATAGGATTGTGAAATTTTCAATTTTAAACATTACATTTCCAACTTCTAACCCATGCTACTATTATATGCCAGATAACACATCTAATTAACGACTAGCCCTAATCGAAAGTTCTCTCTCGTTTTTGGGAGGGGTAATTAACTATAGGGGCTTGCGTTTATAGGAAGCCAGAATCAGATCATAAAGTACTCGCAAAATGAGGGCGAAATCTATGGGTAGTGTCTTATCTACAAACCCATACGCCTTCCCAAAATTTACCCCGGAACTTAATCCATTAAAACACCCCCGAAAATAGAAGCGGGGGAGGCCAGGGCCAAATTTTTGGAGCCCATAGAAATTGACAAAAACATGGCGTTTTACATATTTTAAAAACTAATCAAAAAGTTATCAATAAAATGAGACCAACTAAGCACAAGAATAAATCAAATTAACAAACAACTTGAAATATTAAGAACTAATCAACCATGTTCACAAGAACTAGATAACGTGTCTAGTGTAATGAAGAACCCATTCACAATGTTGTCAGGTGATTTGAATGCCACCATGAAATAATCAAGATAGATGTGATGTGGACTTTGCCAGTAAAAATTAAGATAGCTATCGATGAAAACCATATGATATCAATGAGGACATAATTAAGTTAATGTTGATGCTTTTATATTGGAGGATAGATTTTAAAGCTTTGTTGTGTTGGATGATACTTTTTTAAGTGGGACATGATGTCAAGAGAATAACAATGTTAGATATGCAAAACAAAAACTTACTAGCCAAACAAAGAAGTATTGGGTTGGCATAGAATTAGAAAGAAAAAAGCTCAGGATTATAACATACCACAATATGGGCTTAAATGAATCTGCTGTTAAAAGAAAAGTATATACCTATGTATTATTAGTATCAATTACTCGGTAAATTTAATTCAAGGAATTAAGATTATCATAGAATTAGTAGCTATAGCATCATCATCCAAAATTGCTCGAGACTTATTTTAGGTGTCACCAAATATAACGCTATGTGACTCGATGACCTTGTAGAAACTTGCACATTAAATATTAAATAGGAAGATAATGAGATGACGAAGGATAAGATTTGCATGAATTCAAAGAGGAAATAAGTGATTCTGGGATTGCCTTTATTGTTCTTTGAATATCATGTGACGTATCTTTGTCACCCTAAGTCGTTGATCAAAGATGGTTAATACAAGATTTGCATAGTTTTGAATAATTTATTCAAGTTGAGAAATGATACTTAGTCATAGCTATTTGAAGTTGATTGAAACTATTTCTTGCTCTTGTTATTCACGTCTTTATTCCTATAACTCAGCGGCCTTTGTAGCATATCATGAACTACCATAATTGGTTAAGTAGTAATTGTAATAGTAATGGAAACAGTGATAATAGTGATGATGATAATGATAACCATAATAATATATCAAATGAGAAGCAAAAATATGATGAATGCTCAGTTCAAGTTGTTTTACCGTAATAAATCTACTATTATATTAGATATTTGGGGTTGTTTCTTAGACATATATCATCTTATGATGTTTTATGTAATTAGTTTTGCTACATTGATATGTGATATTCTTTTTTATATATAACTAAACTATCACTATTCTTGTTCGGCCTCAGGCTGTATGGCTGCCTTGGATGCTGAACACTACTTGCAGGAGATTGGAGCTCAAGAGGGAAAGGCTGATTGACTATCTTCAGATTGTGTGGCCTGCTTATCCAGTTCAACCCCTGTTATGGGAAAGCCCAAATTATAGTCTTGCCTAGTTACAAGACAACAATGGAATTTTTATGAAACCCAATGCCATTACATCTAGAATCAGGTATAACAAAATAATAATAATAATATAATATACATACAATCATCATTTATGGATTGCAATTTGTATTTATGCTAGTTATACTCATGTGATATAATTGAAAATTGGTGTTCAAGATTATCCAAGTTTAAAAAAACTTGGATTGTACGTTTTCGTCAATTTCATAGAATATACACAAATAAACTTATAATGGCGACTGATTGATCCAAGTGGCAACAACATTCCAAAAGAAACTCCAATCGAGCCATTAGGTTGCAAGACATCCAATCGAAAATCGTAGTTGGTGATGTAGGAGCAATGGGATTTTTGCGTGTATAAATTCAAAGCTTATATGTTGAAAAAACTTTTGTTTGTTGTTTTGTCATGCACAATTACTTTCATTTGTGTGTTACATCTTGAGTTGGAGCCATTAAACATGTTTTTTTTTTGAAACTGCCAAAGGCAAATTACTAAAACGGAGAAAACAGATACAATCTAGAGAATGATAGAACACCTATCACACTCATCTTTAAGCAAAGCAAAAAAACTAGGAGGGATCTTATTGCAATAGAGATCCTCCCAAATGAAATCCTCTACTAAAGCAAAATTAGCACATAAATCGGCTAATTGTTTACAATCTCTATGAACGAAATGAAAAAGAAACATACCAAAATATTCCAAGAAAGGCAAAGCTTCAATCTCTTCCTCGTGAGAAGCTTTATTCAAAGAACTTTGAAGATAATTGATGACGTTTTGATTATCCCCTTAGACGATAATCCCTTTAGCTTCAAAGTTCCACTTATTGTGAAAGAATTTCAAAGCCCTTACAGCCATAAGCTCCAACAAACCAATGTACCAATGTACACATTTGATACCAAAAGCAAATAAGAATTTTCCTTTATGGTCTCTAAAAACTCCAGCAATCATCGGACTCATTAGAGTCTAAAAGGGCAGCATCAAAGTTACCTTTAATCCACTCGGGTGGAGGAGGGTGCCAAGAAGAATTATGCAGCTTACAAAGATGATTGGCTCCCCAGTGATCCGAGAAGATACCGCACTTTGAAGAAGAAACAACAATTTCAATTGCTCTAGCAGCCATAAATCCCATCCCCAATTCATTGCCTTCATGGGTAACATTATTCCTACTCTTCCAAGAAAATTAGACAACTGTACAGTAAAGATTAGACAAAAAAGGATTTGAGATAGACAAAACCTTTAAACCATTGATACAATCTGACCAAGCATTGTATCTAGGAAGTTTAAAACCCCAATTGTCCAATGTATCAAACAAGCGAACTAAAAAACCACAGTTCACCGCAATATGCTCCTCATTTTCAGCGGTTGTACAACCTCTTGGATAGCCATTCGATTAAATAATTCTCCTGCACATGAGATAATCCAAAGTTGGAATACCTTTATTAAGTAATCTCCACCAAAAACAATGCACCCGAGCTGATAGCTTGCTTAATCTGAGCCTTTTCCAGCAACAACACCGTGATCAGTTCTAGCCAAAGCAGCTAAAGATTTACCTGAAAACTTTTAAAGAAGTTCTCTGGAATCCGTCCCTTCTTCAATCTTCACTTGTGAAATCAACTTAGTTAATTTCGGACCAAAAGGTCTATTTAGCTCAAACAGATTCCATTCCCTGGTTTGAATAAAGAAATCAAGTCTGGGGAATTCATCTACCATGACATTAATAAACGTAGGCCATTTGGACAACCTTATGTTTTGAATCCAAATATCTTCAAGTGTATTAATGGAAGCACCTGTAGCAACCTTCCATCTCAAAATTGGCTGTAAGGAATTCAAGCCATCCAAAAGAATCCTCCATGTAACAGAACAGTTTTGCTTCCTTATTCCACTGCAGATATCATTCCCATATTTGGCTCTTAGAGTCCTATATAGCAAAGAATTTGACTCCTTAATAAATTCCCAAGCATATTTAGATCTAAGAGGACCCATCATAGTAACAGGAGAATGCAATCCTGCTCCACCTTCAGCATACGGTTTACAAAGAACCTCCCACGAAATGTAGTGCATACCAGCATCATTGTCCGATTTTTTCCAAATAAATTCTCTGCATATCTTTTCTAGTTTCTTCAGAATATTGACGGGAACCAAAGAATAAGAAACATAGAAGATGGGAATAGCAAGCAAAACAGACTTTACCAGCACAATTCTACCAGGTAATGAAAAAAATTTATTATCCTAACTATTAATTTTAGCAGACGCCCTCTCAAGCAAGAATAAAAAATCAGAAGAGATCAATCTCCGCAAGCAGAGGTTAATACCCAAGTACTTCATTTCCTGCACCACCTTATAATTGAGAATTATGGATAATGATTTCTTCTTTGCTCTACTAACCGACTTCCCAAACATAATAACTGATTTCTTCACATTAATTGATAGCCCTGTCCAGCTACAGTAATCTATAATGATCCTCTTAAGCATTTTCACATGCTCAATACTAGCTTCAGAAAAAAGAAGAACGTCATATGCATAAAGAAGGTGGGAGATCTTGGGAGCCAATGCAACCACTTTAATTCCCAAATTAATCCCATTTTGGTGCAAGTTGTTAGATAACAATTGGGAACATAAAATGAACAAATAGGGAGAGAGTGGACATCACTGTCTAAAACCACTTTTTGCTTCAATCCAATTTGATTGGGTTCCATTGAAAAGAATTGAAAATCTTGGATAGGTAACACATTCCATAAGAAGTCTGGAGAAATCATTAGGAAACCCAAAGTAATCAAATATATTTTCCAAGGAACTCCAAGACATACAATCATATGCTTGTTCCATATCAATTTTCACCGCCATCATCCCTTTTTTTGATTTAGAAAATCTAAACTTATGAAAAATCTCTTGCACCAAAAGAACATATTCCGATAAGGATCTACCTTTTAAAAAAGCAACTTGGTTTTCCGAAATCAAATCATTGATGACCAAATTAAGTCAATTTAAAAGAAGTTTAGCAATGATTTTGTAAATAGACAAGCATAAGCTAATAGGACGAAATTGAGAGGGATCTACTGGATTTTGAACCTTGGGAATAAGGACTACCATTGTCTCTTTCCACTTAGCATTCATTTTTCCTGTTGAGATGAACTAAAAGATTGCCTTCCACATGTCTTGAGCGATTATTTTCCAGTAGCTTTTGATAAAGGAATACGAAATTCCATCAATCCCTGGAGACATATTGCCTCCAAGGCTGAAAATGACTTTTTCTACTTCCTCCACTGTAAATTCAGCATCCAGTAATTTCACACTTTCACTGCTTAATGCATTCAATTTATTCGGCCAACCTGTTACAATGTAGTCCCGTTCCTTCCATTTTTGAGAAAAAAATCTCAAAAAATCTTGTTCAATAGCAGCTTGATCGTTTACCAAGTTGCTCATCATCCTTTATTTGCTTTATGAAATTACCATTCTTCCTCCCATTAGCAAAAGCATGGAAAAACTGAGAGTTAATATCACTCTCCTTAATCCATTTTAATTTCACCCTTTGTCTCCACCAAACGTTTAACCTTGCTAGAGTATTGTTCAATTCATGAACTTTGGATTTGAGCAACAAAACCGATTGTTCTGACATGCCATTTCCACTTGCTTCTTCAATTTGTAGATCATCCACCTCTTTTTTAAGTTTTTTCCTTAAGCTCCAACAGATTTTTGTGTTTAGATCTACTCCAAAAGAAGAGGGTTCTCAACACAAAACAAAATTTCTTATTCAACGCATCCATAGGATCACCTTTAAATTGCTTGCTCCATGCTTTATTGACAACATGAAAGGCAGCAAGATAAGAGAGCCAAACATCTTCAAACCACAGCATTTTTGGATGCTGAAAATTCCGGAAATCTAACTACAAAACCACTGGACAATGATCAGATGCTACCCGCGCCACATGGCGATTAACAACATGAGGTAGAGCTTCCAAGGCCTTAGAATTGAGAAGACACGTATCAAGTCTCTACCAAATACGGGCACCTCCACTTTTGTTATTACACCAAGTGTATTTAGGCCCTACAACTCCCACATCATGAAGATCAAAACGGTTCATGAACGAATTCATCTCTTGAGGAGCAAGAGAGAATTTGAATTTCTTACCTCCCCTCTTGTCATCTTGAGAAAGGATGCAGTTAAAGTCACCACCGATAACATAAGGTAACTCCAAAGAAGAATGTGAGCCTAAGCAATCCCACAATCTCCTCCTACTATACACATCTCTACTCCCATACACAGTAGAGATAATCCAAGATCCTTTATTAGCTATACAAAGCTTCCAATCAGACATTGCTCATTTGCTGTTATTAAAGAGAAACTGGCCAAATCAGACCTCCACATCACCACGATCCCTCCTGACAAACCATTAGAAGGATAAAGAAAGAAATCCCAATCTTTACCCATGTATTTACTAAATTCCCACTTCTCCAAAGAATCAATTTTAGTTTCAACAATGCCCACATAGATAGCATTCTAATCACGGACAACCTCCTTCAAATATAGAGGGGCCTCCCTCTTATTCGCCCCCCTACAATTCCAAAAAACAAGAGAACTCATGTAGCCACCGAGGGGGAAGGTCCCCCACCCTTCTTTCTACTGATTCCTTCTTGTTTTTTAAGTCTAGAGAATTGATTTAATGGTCCCAAAAATTTCAGCTCCTTTTGAAGTTTGGGTTTAGGTTTCCCAATACTATCCATCTCTCTACTATCAAACACTGTAGGAGTTTCAACAATTTCCTTATTCACCACAGATTCTTCAATATTTACAAATTCTCCTTCTTCAATATCAGGCTTACCATGAGAGTATTTTCCAGAATTATTTCCTTCACAGACTTCCTCTTCAATTCTTCTTGAAAACCTGCTTATTGCTTTTTGAAACCGGTTTGGAATTCACCTGCTTAACCCTTTTCTGATTGTTCCAATTCCTTTTTTTTTATTGACGTGAAGGTCCATAAACTGAACCTTCAGGAACTGCTTCAAGCTCCTTGACTCCCTCCATAATGTTGGCCTCCTTCTGAACAGTGTCCTCAATCACCACTTTGGCTCCACATGAAGTATTTGAGTGACCAACTTTGCCACAATTGTAACAAAGAGAAGAGATCCTCTCGTACTCAACATTTTGGAAAACTTACCATTAGGACCTTCAATCCACACCCCCAATGGTAGCTGTTTATCAAGCTCCATTCTCACACAAGCTCTTCCAAATTCCCTTTT